GAGGGGGGTGGGGGGGTCACCATTTTCACCGGAACAGGCCATTTAACCATCCAAATGATTTCTAAACGGGTTTATTAAGCTGAAAAAGTTGCCAAGTTCCCCTTTAAAGGCTACATTAACACAGCAAAACTTAGTGCTCAATTCTGATTAATTGCTCAGATCTTTTTGTTGTCTTTTGTTGGTCTGTTCACATTATTTGTTAAATGTGTCCCTGATCAGATTCCAGTTTGAACCGGTCACAGTCCTGAAGTGATCCGCATGGCGAATGTTGTTCTAGAGTAACGTGAAAGTCACATGAATTCTGATTCTGTTGAATGACTGTGACTGTTCACACTGAGGTGACCTGTATCTGATTTGGACCATGTCTGAAAGTGGCCTAAATCAGAATTAAAAAGATCCGATTCCATGTGTTTTGTGCTGTTCACGCCGTCATATAACACATATAAGCAAGGTTTGGGTCATTTTGGCCTGGAGTCTGAACACTTTGGGCTTAAAAATGTATCGGATTGATGAAGTTAATGTTACCTGCATGAAGTTGCATTATTAGGTCTCACTTGCAAATGTGTTTTTGGGAAAAAATTGTATTGATCATGCTGTAACATATACATCTGTTTTTTTTACCAGTATGGACATGAAATAGGTCTTAAATTGTATTCATAATCGTCTTAAAAAGGTATTAAAAAGTCTTAAATTTAACTTGTTGAAACCTTCAGAAAGCCTGTGTAAAAAGGTTCAAAATCGATCCAGCAGAACCAGCGATATCTCCTTACTTCCTTGTCAAACCCTGGAGCCTGTTACCCACAGTGCAACTCGACTGCCAACAGTTCAGTCCGGAGATTCACTCGAGGACATTTATACAGCTTTTCTTCACATGTGCAGTAGTACTCGCCAACACCTGTAAACACAGGCTGATGTGTAAAACTGATTCTCCTTGAAGACATGAAATGCATAACATGCGTGGCTTCATCTGGGTTTCTCCGCTAGGGATTGTATCAAGAAAGAAAAAGGCTTCTGATTTCTCACTATCAACATTAGTGATGAATTTTAAAACTTATTTTGCAGTTAAAGCCTTAATTAATGACCATAGTGAGCCTGAGGGACACTGGCTCTCTCCATTTCATGATTTATTTGAACTGCTCTATAGTCTGTTAAAGGTCCAGTGTGTAACATTTAAGATCTATTGAAACTTGGTGGACTGGTAGAGACATGAGACCAACATGTTAAATTGCCCTCATATTTACATAGCCTTCGTGTCTGAGGGGCTTTAGAAATCTCTGAATGCACTAATGATATTTATGCGAAAGGATATTTGAGGTTTCTCAGCTGGACAGACCAGAGAGGAGGTTAGAATATCAACAACTTGCTATTTTAAAAAGAGACAGACACAAAAGGGAATAGAATATAAGTGAGCAGGTTGCAGGATATCAGTGGCTTATTTAATTTTGTTTAATCTGCTTAACTGAATTACAGAAGAGGGATTTTGCATGTGTGTCTGTGGTTACATTTCCTGGAGCTTGTATTGCAAAGTTCTAACTTGCTACGTTCTCATTGAGAAAAGCTTTAAAACATTGCTTTAAATTAAATGCCACTTTTCTTTCAATGGTAGCTTTGCTGTATCTTATGCATTACTTGTTTCCAGTGTAAAAATAGTAACTGGTAGATTAGTTAACTACATTTTTATTCCTTGTATATGTCCACAGGCATGACAATGAAACAATAGCACACAGTTCTCTAGCTGTGCGTGGGATTGGACTATTACCTTTAAAATGCATAGAGATGTCACCTAGACACACAAACGCCACACACATGTGAAAGGAATCTAAAGGAAATTAAAGGGGGATAAAAGGGAAAGCAGTCAGGGAGCAGTGTGTTCTCTCAGCTTGCTCCATTAAAGATTTATGGTGTGTCCTGGCACAGCAGCCCGGCTGATTAATAGCATAAAAAAACAGATTACACCAGCATTAAATATTTAACCTCGAGCCTTTCAAATTTTACAGTGTGAAAACAGAGTGAGAATTTATTGCAGGCAGGCGGAGGGACAGACAGGTGATGAAATAAATAGGATATAGGGGTGGATGCGAAAACAAATACAGATACATGCAGCGCAGGATGTTTTTGTATTATTTAGCATTAGTCAGACCTCTCCTTCCTATCTGTCTGAAAAACCGTAGATGTGTTTCACAGCAGATCCTGATGAAAGCTCTATATCAGTAGTAAAGAGCTTCCTTACCTGTGTAACAAGGACATAGAGCACATTTTGAATACCAATACAATAATACATAACCATACAAATTATGTTAAACAGTGTTGCATCCTTTTTCTTTTATTATACATTCTGACAACATGGCATAAAATTCCATACCTGATCAACAGTTTAAATTGTTGACTGTAATATTCTTTAAGCAGTAAAATGATCTTTGTTAGACATTTGAATGTATGACAACTAACTGAAATAAAAATTTCCGAAAAGTTTTTTTCATATATATAGATATATATCTATATCGATATCATCATGGAGCTCTACAGCATTATTATGACACGTGAGACAAGTATGGAGAGGCAACCTTTTGTTACTATCAACCAACTGTGGCCGGCCCATAAGATTGTGACTTATCCAACTGTTAAATATGTTTTTTTTTTTCAGAGCAGTTTGAGCTGTATTTTGTATGTTTGTGTATGTTTTTTTCTATGAAACGTGCTTAAAAAAAAAAAAAATGTATTTTTTCTTCTTCGGTTAACCTTTGACTTCCTGTATTTTGCATTTGCAGATTATTTCAGGATTGGGGTCGTGTCCAGCGGCTGCTGAAGAGGTCCTCTCTTCTTCTCTAGGGGTATCACAGCAAACTGCTTTTTTATTTATACTTCATTTATATATATTCCTCTTTGCACCTTAGTCATTATTCAGACATTTGTAGTGCAAGTGTTTGTGTGCTAAGCCCTCTGAAGCTACAGCTGTCTTCTTTAAAGGTAATGTTTTTCTATATCGGATATTTAGCCCTGGTTTGTTCCTCTTATGTTCCAATACAGTCATGTCACATAGCTAAGCATTAATTTTTCTGAAAAATAATAATAACAACATGTAGGACAGTTCTGAAAGAGTTCTCAGAGAGCCTGCTAACCATGAATGAACCATGGATGAAAACATATGTCACCTGCTGCATGACAAAGATTTTTAGCCCCTTTCCAAAGTCGACGCTGTATTTCTTATCCAGGTAGCTGGATGTGATGTGTCTGTCTGTCTAAAAATATAAAATTGATATGTCGATATGATCGGCTAATATTTACTTTTTGCAGACATATTGGTATCATATGGGTATCAGCGTATATGTTATCCAGTATGCATCAATTTCTGATATATAATGCAGAAGAAAATGCTTGTGTTCTGCCATATTGGTATTTTCCCCTCTAAAATCGGTCTCATATTGGTCGGGCTCTAGTTTTCATACAAATTGAGTATGTATATATGTCATGTTAGGATTACAAAACAGAGTTGTAACCGGTTTAAAAAGCATCAGAAGAGTCCTTGAAGATTCTGTAAAATACCTTGTGAACAGCAGCAAGTGGCATTAAACGACCTGTCTGGGTTTTCTAAAGATCTCTGGGTGTTTTTCAAAAAGATCGATGCTTAGCTCAAATGTAATGGTAATAAAGGTGCATTGTGACTCTCCAGTGATACAGCATATAGACCTCTGTCACTCTTTCACCAGGCTACAGTTATATGCCAGTGTGCTAGCCCTTATGTTTCTGTAGTTTATCTGTTTATTTGCTGTTTTCTTGTGTAGATTTCTGTAGGATTACAGATGGATTCAGTATTATAAAGAACCAGTAATGTCAGACTACAGAGACTGGGGCTGCACAATTAATCAAAATAGTATCCAAATAGTAAAAATACTGTAGTGCTGCAGAGATATCTTGGTCTACACATCTTGTTCAGTGACAATGAAAACTTGTGATTCAAAAATGATCATTCCTACTTATGGTGAATCATATTGCAATCGCAATATCTGTCAATATAATGTTTTTTTTTTTTTACCACATTGTGCAGCCATGAGACATGTTACTCAAATGCAAGAAGGTTTAGGTGTTGGATGTTTGGCCAGTCAGGAACATTAAGGTTTTAATTAGTTTTTGTCCATCTTTCATATAATCATTTAGCTTTTATTCCACGTTGACAATAGTAAAAGATTTAATTTCTGTTTTAAGAAGTTACTTTTTATTTTTATTCTCTCTTTCATCTGGGTATTTTTTTAATTGACAAAATGAACACTGGTCTGCACAAGTGTGCTGCTGTGCATGCATCTTTTAGAGACTTGTGACACATGCAAGATCCATTAAATGTTTGCTTTAGACATTTTTAAGCACCATTTGAAGACACACACACACACGCACGCACACAGTCTAGTGGATCCAGTATTAAATTTCAGTTGTGTGTTTATTGAACAGCTTCATCACACACACAATCCACACAGCTGATAACATGCCAATATTTCAAATGTCAATCACTCATCCAACCTCATATACCTTCTGCTCACATGACTACACAAGTTGCTATGGCAACAGGGAGCCCCTAAGACACAAGTAAATTTCATGTGCTTTGGTCTGTGGAGGCCCAGTAGCTGTTGTCAGGTCTGGATTTTGCTCTTTTTCTGTGCTCCTGTTTGCACTGTGCCTTCCTTACAGAATGTTACATCAGAGACCCAGTTTGTTTGTTTCCCTCTGTTCTGATTCAGGGAGTGCAGGCCCTGATGAACAGTGCGGTACAGCCTCTCCTGCAGTCAGTCAGCGACTCCATAGAGGCCATCATCATCACGCTACACCAAGAGGACTTTTCAGGGTAAGCAACATTTAGCCTGTGTTCTCCAGGGAACCATATCAGGAACCTGTGTTTTGACTGAAGGGACGAGTAACTGAATTCAGTACCTGTTCCCCAAAAAGTCCTCACACTTTACAGTGGCCCAGGAAGTATGGATGTGGATCTGTGCAGACTGATGCAAACTGATCAAACACAAACCTCAGGCTGCTGCAACTTGTGTACAGCTTCGTTCACGCTGGAATCAGCATTGGGTGCAACCAGAATCAAAATTAGGACCTTATAATTCAAATATTGCCTGACCTTCACAGTTCTTCAGAAAATAATCGAACACAAGACACTTTTTGTTCCTAGATTTGTTCTTCGGATTCCATAGTTCCTGGAACTGTTATAAAGGGGACTTTTAGTATATTTATTGATTTCCAAAGGGTCATACAGAACAAGGTATATCAGGCATAATGAAGACCTACATGGAGATGTACCTGGAGAGCTCAGTCTCATAATCCCTTTCATTAAAGGCTGACCAATACTGGATTTTTGAATATTGATATTTATGAGGAAAGGAATTTCATTAATGGTAGATGAACACAGCATTAACAAATCCATCCCTTAGATTGTTTTTTTATTTGGAATTGTGGACAGATATATACTGAGCTGGATGTTTTACAGTGTGAAAATCAACTTGTCAGTGCTCTCTGGTGGACAGACTGACTGAAACTCAGACCTACCGTGGCATTTCTGCATCGCTCTTTATTAGGATAGTCCCCCTACAGAGTATTTGTAACATTTCAGCAGCTTATTAGTTGAGATTTAACTACCGTTTCCTGACATTACACCACTGTAATGTTACAAATATGCTATGCGACTGAAGTTTTACCAATATATCTGCAATAAGCTGATTTTTCAAACAAGTGCTGCTTACAGACAGACAGACAGACAGACAGAGAGACAGATTTTTATCAAGTAATGATAAAAATGATTGTCCACCACAGTTTTGAAATTTCAAATACTCTTGTATTGCTGATTGTGCAAAGACAACCTTTGAAAGGCTTATTTTGTTACATTAGAACATATTTTTGTTTAATAAAAACGTTATTTAGGTGTTATTTGGGATCAGTATCAAAACTGAGCATTTAAACATTTTAAATGATACTCAGCTCTCTACCTCTCAGTGATGTGTTTTCCATTCATTATTAGCACAGTTTCTTCCATTGAGCAGAGAGCCAGACCGGAAAATAAAACAATTCCACAATCAACCCTTTCTAACTAAAAGTGCATTTCAGTATTTCCATGCATGTATTCAGGTGCCTGCAACATTATAACAACCTATTTTTATTATTAATCTCAATTTGGTTCATAAAACTAACCAAACTTTTAAGACTGGTGTAGTCATTAATAGAGTGTTGTCAAAGCTGCAGTCTTGGACCTTCATACCATCTGAACACACAGTTGGCTTCAGACAGACGAGCTGAGCCTCTGCTGGAAGCTGCTGGAGGAGAATCAAATTGTGTCAACACTTGATGTCATCTATAAAAAAAAATGCTCTGCTGCTCCAGTTTAGCTCACTTCCATTGCTCTGTGTGTTGATCAACTGTAAATGTGGTTATCATTGTATGAATGTGCTCTCCTCAGATGTATTTTTACTCACTGTTAGTGACCATCAGTTAAAACCCACACCCTGTTATTAGGGTTTTATTATCCAAACAGAAGAGGAAAGAATGTTTTATAGAAACAAAAGAAATAGACATTGTGTGTGATTTACAAGGATACAAGGTATTTTGTCATTTTACAACACAGGGTTGTATAATTTAATATAAATACATTTCCTTCATTCCTAGATAATGAAAGCTTGTAGTTGCCTTTATTCTTCCACGTAAAAACAAAAAATGTATTAATAAGTCATGAAAAATAAGCTTTTAAATAATGGAGTGCTGAGGATGAATTCAGCTGTCTTTAAGTCTGGTGGTACAGCAGCAAGATAAACAGGCTGTATCAGAGGCTGTTATTAGTGTAATTTAGCCAGCTACCATCAGTCTTTTGTAAATGGATAAGACATGTCATAAGTTTTCTGTACTTCACTGTAATTTTGCGTGTGTTGCAGGCCTCTGTCCAGCCCCGATAAGCCGGACGTTCCGTGCTCCCTCTACATGAAGGAGCTGCAGGGCTTCATCTCCAGAGTGATGGCCGACTACTTCCGACACTTCCAGTGCGTGGACTTCATCTACGAGAGCACAGAGTCCATCGCCCAGAGGGCCATTGAGCTGTTCGTCCGCCACGCCAGCCTGCTGCGCCCACTGGGGGAGGGCGGCAAGATGAGACTGGCTGCCGACTTCGCTCAGGTGAGGTGGATCTTTTCAGCCTGCTCCCCAGGCTGATCCTGATCCTGGGCCGACCCTTGCCTCCACAATGGTTTACAGATGATGCAACAACGCAGAGGTCACTCACTAGATTAACGTGTATGTCTGTTTGTTCCTGTTTACTGTGTGTGTGTCAGATGGAGATGGCAGTGGCTCCTCTGTGCAGGAGAGTGTCTGATTTGGGGAAACCTTACAGAATGCTGCGCTCCTTCAGGTGTGTATGCTTCGGTTTTCGGCCGAAATACTTTTAATCACCGAAACAACACGGCCGAAACACAGAAGTTGTGATGACGCCAAACAAAAACCGCGGGCCAGCACCACGCTTGTCTGGAATAAGCACCAACCATGTCTGGCGGTGTGGACGTATTTCAAATATCTCTGAGAAAGACCCACGGATAGCGATTTGCAAAACGTGTAATGCTGAAATGTCAAGAGGGGGTGCATCTGCAAAGAGCTTCTCCACGTCCGGTTTAATTTATCACCTGAAATCCAAACGTCCTGATTGCCATTCTGAACATGAGAAGAATGTGGCAAAGAAAAGGAAAATCAATCCCGAGCACGCCCACTCCGTCTGTGGTGGACGGTTTTTGAAAAGGCAAGAAAGTTTTCAGTGATGGTGCACTTTACCTGAAGAAGTAGAATGGGCTTGTGTCTAGTGTGTTAAATATTTGTTTTCCACTTTTGCACATCTGCAATTCTTGGTGCATTTGTTGTTGTTTAAAGCCTACGGTTAACATATGGGCTATGGCAACAGGTTATGTTGTAGACCTACAGAGGAAATAATTGTTATATCTTCCAGCAGTTGCAGTCTTTTTTCTGAATGCACTTTGTTGAAGTTAGTTATTAGGCCCGAGCACTGAACGTGCGAAGGCCCTATTGTAATTGAAGGAATTCTTCTTTTTCTTTTTCTCCTAAATGAACGCATATTTTGGAAGCTTGCCCATGCTCAAAAACTCATGAAACTAGCAGACATCGTCAGGTTTGTGGCGAAAAATTTTTATTCTGGTGTCGCTTGCTCGGGCCTTGGCCCACGTAGGTGGCGGCTAACTACTCCATACAACAGCTGCGTTTAGGCTATCAACTTCTGCAGTAGTCTTGTTGCACATTCAAAGAACCTTATATCCACGCGTCTCGGTGGCAATGGGAGCTGCAAACTCACCCATAAGGCCACGCCCACTTCCGCCTATAATTTTTTTCCGCCTAGAGCGCCGAAATGGTCCAAAAACCTTCTTTTCGTGTTACCCTCTATACGCTTTGTCCGATTTCCCACGAAATTTGTGCAGGTAGCATCTGGACCGGTCCTGGCAAAACAGTATCTCGAAGAATCTTGTCGATATTCAAAATAATAAGCCTGTTATACGAATGTATTACTTTCCTTTAGATTTGGTCAAAACAGGAAGTGCGACCATTCTCTCCCACATTGGTATGTCCGGGATTGACACACAGTCTTTTGGTCCTAGTTCCCCATGTCTTCCTTAGGGGATCGTGGCCACAATTTCAGGGCCATTGGCGCCCCAAGGCTGGCGCTCTTTAAATCGAACAAGCTTCTATCTCCCGCACGTCGCATGTGCGCGGACTTAAACTCCTTACAGACCTCTTGGGGTAGCTATGTGCCTTGCCCATGGCTCCCCCTGGAGGCTCCCCCTAATAAAGTGGTGTCACGCATCGTGCCACTGAGCGTGGCGCTCCTGGTGGGATGGTAATCACTGTGGTGCAAGACCGTATCAGTTTGATATGGAAATTCGTCAGGGCACGGTGGTAGGACTGGGTGCCTGGAAGCTCACATACCACAATCGTGTGTTTATCGGCGTTTGTGCGCCCCCTACAGGGCGATTTATAAAAGCAGCCCCGGCGCCACGTTCACCGACATGGGTATGGACGACGGTAGGTCACGTGTAACCTGCCAAGACGCTACAAAAACGCCTCTTGGACCCCATACCCCAAACCCGACGGGAAGTCGCCCTTTTCTT